CGATCTCGTGCCATGGATGACTGGAGACGAATACATCTCTCAGTTCTATGGTTAGCAACACAAGACTCTATTTATTTATTGTTTATTTATTTACGCTGATAGGCAATCAGCTAGCAGGTATGTAAAGGCGCAAACAGCAGCATCATGGGCGAGAGTCTCGCACGTTCTGCCGTGACCACTCCAGAGTACCATGCTGTCCCTGTTGTTTCTTGATGAACGATTTGTCACCTGTTTCTTAGTCTGTTGCACCAAAGTGGAGTAAATTCCGTGCTCAAGAGAATTTGCAGTACAAGAATTTCACATGACTTAAACCCGGACCAAACGTTCAAAGCAGTTCTGAAAATCGCTTCCAGTTCTTGCTGCCAACCATAAAATTAGAATATGCATTTGCTTTCTTCCGCTGTTTTCATAACTTTATATGAAGCTGTTCGAATTATCGACTTCCATATTTTTTTATTCCTAGAAACGTTCTTAATTCAAGCACCAGTGCATGCCTCGGTTTGATTTTTCTACAAGCATGTCACGCTGTCTTTAGTTGCTTTTTTCTGTTTGTCACCTATAATGAAAGCTCACTTCGATTTCAGGACATTATTTGGCTGGATGTTTTGTTAACGTTCTAGTGTCTTTAATATTTACTGGAATTAATACGCTGTAAGCAGGCAAATGGAGTATTTAATGTTTAATTTCTTGATTCATGGTTTAAGCCTATCGGTTCAACCTGTTTATCAAGAAACGCACAATACTTTCGGATCTTGGCTTATAATCGAAAACAGTTTCATTGGGTACTGAGAACTATTTTTTCATCGATTATAGCTTTGAGCGTGATTGACAGTTAAAATTATACACAATTCTTTGGGTTTAAGAAAGCATAAGCCGAAGTCATGTAGTAAGAACAGAGCATTTAATATTGTTTGATTTTACTATACTAAATTATGATAATTTGAATGTTTCCGGATTTTCTCCGAAATATTTCAGTTCGTTTTTGTCTAATATGTTGCTTATCTTGAAAAGTGAGTCTCAGGCAAGCGTCAGAGTAAATGACATTAAATCAAGTACTGTTAACGTTGCCACGGACCATCACCAAGACTGCGTTTTATGCACTCTCTTGTTTTTGTTTTATATGGATAGGATAGTGAGACACAACTAAGGTGACGAGTGTTTTGGAGAAGGAGCATTCGAAACAAGAAGTTTGCTGCAGATGACCTTGTTTTGTTGGAATTTTCCAAAATTGATTTCCCTGGAAAGGTTTGTAGCCATTTGCAACATGGCTGACTTGCGTGTGAACATGTCTAAAACGAGAAGTTTCGCGTATTTTCGTTTTCCTGCCCGCCACGCCATTCCAACCGGCGAATTAAAATAACCAATGGCATATTGAGTAAAGTGGCCCTAACCGTTGTGATTGAGGCAGAACCAAAATTAAAGACGAAGCTACCTGAGTACAACTTGATTTTTATCGCCATACTTACTGTTGTCATCCTGTTGTAGTGGCATCGTCACAGAAAGCTACCAGAGCTTAAACAGGAAAGTAACCCAGATTTATTGTACTTGACCTTTAAAAATGGACCTGTGGTAAAGATCGTGAGCCATAACTATAATACTGCAATCATTCGTAAAAGCGACTGAAACTGACTTTCAAGGACGATTCGCTGTGCTCACGCGTATCGACAGAGTTCAGAGTTTTCAAATTTGAGAAAGCCTTGGTGTACAGCCGTTGATTGTGCGGATCAAGAAGTAATACCTGCCATAGTGGGTCATCGTGCGAATGTTTCCAAGGAAGGCGAAACAGCTACTATTTGCTCAAACGACCGATCGAAGATCCCGAACATGGCCAAAAATGACCTAGAGGCAAGTGCATCGAAAGATTTGACTCCACACTCGTGTCATCTTCTGCGGGTGCTGAAACGTTCGCACAGGATCAGGTACATTGTAGTCACCATCGGACGCGTCTCCTTTCACGACCTGAGAGGGGCTGAGTGATCGGTAGAATTTCTGCCTTACATCGTTACACCAGACCGTTAGCAGGACAACCCTGCTGACTCCGGGGAGGACTCCGCTTTTAGTATATTGCCCCTTCGCTGTCGATGCTGTAACTGCGACAACAGCACAAAAATATTTGTAAATGTTCTTCGCCCTCATTCTTTCGAAAGTCAAGAGGGTAGAGAGGCTGTTCACAGACCTACATTTCCTTATTTTCTTCTTTTTCCTTGAATCCAAAAAAGTTTGAAATCGATCTTAAACAGAGTCTGAGCGATAAGCCTACTTGAATGCAATTAAGAGAACGATAGTATATTTATTCCTTTTTTCAGACATTTAAAAAATAAAATTTTACTTAAATTGACTATCTGTTCGTATTTTATGCAAGGATCAGGTTATGTCTCTGAGAATTCGCGTTTGCTTTAGCTGTTATATCTTAGTAAGCTTAAACTTAAATCCGAGCTTATCGTTACTTTACTTAGGTTCCCTGATTGGGTTCTGTCTGATCGTTGCTCGTCCCAAATATTCAGTACATGGTAGTTTTTGACGTAAAAGTGCAAGCCGATTTCTTTTCGTTTTGCGGTATTCTGCAATTTGTTGCTGTTCGCTTTGGTTTGGAATGACAGTGGTAAACAACGCTATGGCGCTGAACAGTTGGAAACCCGACGAATGCGAGCTGAAGCAGGTGCTCGAGTTGTTGCAAGAATCGCAGAGCACCGACACTCAAGTGCAGCGACAAGTTCATGAGGTGAGCCATGTGAAAAATTGTTTAGCCATTGTCGTTTTGCATCAGTATTTTATTTTAGAAGCTGGAGCATCTTAGGACGTATCCTAACTTTTGTAATTACCTCGCTTACGTTTTAAGCGACATGATTGACCAAGGTAAGTTGTTATTAGATTTGTTTTTAGGTTAAATTGCTTTGTATTCAACTATATCATTTAATCAGTATGCATAAGTAATTTTTCACACGCCAAACTGCGATACCTCAATCTCATTACTGGCACCGCGCAGATCTCAAGAGTGACAAATTCTAACCTTGGTGCCTGTATTTAGTTAACGCTGTGCCCAGATGTTGTGGAAAGACTTCATTCAAGATTCTCATCAGAAGATGTCAAGTCTATGTCACCCGTCAGACTACTGCTTACTTCCAAGACAGGAAAACGTGTCAGTCTCGGGGACGTATCCGTCTGTCGCATCGTCGGCGTCTTCCGGTCCAAGATCAGACTTCAGGATGAAAGACGGAGTATCCAAATTAATGATGTCTGACGTTTTGGCTTCTCCTACTGAGCTGTTGTAGCTCAGTACAAAGCCCTTTCTGTAGATGGCTCGGCATTTAATCTTAGCGGACCTTCCATATATTCAACATATCGATGGTAGACATGCCTGACCAGCCATCCAGTTTTATGATTGGATCGACCGGTAGGGATATGTAATATCCTTGTAGCGTCAAATGGAACGGAAAGCCTCGCGTGTTATACGTCAATCCCTGTTCAGCTTCTTCAGCAGTGGAATTCAAAAAAACCTCCCTATCACGCTTATCTTTGGCTATGAATAGGTTCTTTAATCGCCGTTCTGTCCTTTTTTGCATGTTTCTCCTTTCTCTTCCAATACGTCAAAGGTGACGTCCAGTAGCTAGTGTTCTGATAATTTCGTTTGCTATGCGTTTGATTTCTAGCTTCACGATTTCCCGTGCTTCGATATTAATAGAGAGAACCCTGATACAGCTGGGTATTTCGTTGTAGCTTGAACGTACCTGCTGCAAATTGACGGACACTGCTTCAGAAGTTCAGTATTTTACTCTGTTGGCAACATTGTCTTTCGATGGGTTTGAAAACAGTAATCTGGCAGACTAAAAGGTGGCGGTCATTGTTTGCGGCCGCTTTTGCGCTTACAATAGAATTTGAAATTGGTTCGGTCATGGTCTGGACAATGGCCGATTTTCTTGATGGTAAATTCAATATTTGATATCCATGTGTAACATAGTTTGGACGTCGAAACCGCTAGCCGACAGACCGGCGATTGCGTAGAAGGACAATAGGCGACTGTATTTTCATTGAGCAAGCCAGAGGTGAAACGACAAACGACTATTTAGGAGCCCTCATGGTTGTTGCCAGTTTCAGCTCTCTTTCACTCAGAATGATCAGGATATCATTATTGGGTATGGCATGAAACTTGGAGAACAGTTGGTTGTAGACTTGATTCTTTTCTTCATCGAGGTTATCTTCGGTTGGCATGCATGCATCAGTGGCGGACTGTTATCAATTTTTGTGCTGTAATTTTGCACAGAGTAGAGGAGACGAAATCAGGTTTCACGCATTATTTGTGTGCCCTAAGGGGTGATCGGGTGGGATCGCATTGATGGGTGCCCTAACCGCTATGGCGGTGCATGCGCTTTTCTCTGAAATGCAAAAT